GGGAAATACGGCGGGTGGTGCAAGACTTCTCATTTCAGCGTTTCCAGGTAATTTTTGACTACTTTTGCGACGTGAGGCCGAGCATTGTCGTGTTGGAGGATGACTTTGTCATGTCGCTCTTGATATTGTGGCCGCTTTTCTTTTAGCGCGCGACTAAGGCGCATCATTTGCGTTCGGTTGCGATCTCCTGTGATGGTTTCACCCGGTTTTAAGAGCTCATAGTAAATCACACCGAGCTGATCCCACCAAATACAAATCAAAGCATAGTTAATATTCGTTGAAACCACTCCCGACACTTTCTTTCACTCAGAGCAGCATCACCGTAAGTTTCTGAGAGCATTCGATGCGCTTCAGCTACATATTTTTTCGAATTGTAACAGAAAAGTAAAACTTCCCTCAAATGGCGAGAATAAGGCACATACACGGACATTTTCGAGCGTGTATCGTACAAAAACAAGAACAACTGTCACTGAAACGGCGATGACAATTCGTTAGGCACTGTCCACACTCACTTTGAAGGCATTATCATCTATGTATTTTAACCAGCCTCAGCCGTTACAGCCACCTATCGGAAAACGGCGGAGGCAAAGTTGTACACCAGATATTTGAATTTAATTTGCTTTTATCTTATCTATTATTTTGTGGTTGATATATGGATTTTTTTAGGGATTGCTTTCTTATTTTAAAACTATTTTATATTTAAAAAGAAAAGTGATCGCCCTAACTTTTGATCGCAAATTGAAGAAAACTCGTAAGTTTTGTGAGCTGTTAAACTAAGGTTAAAATAGTTAAAGTAATAAGTTGTAGAAAGCTTTGTATTGTGAGAATATACATAATTTTTTTTTTTTTATTTATTTTTTGTAGTATGATTTGAACTGATTCTAAATTAAATTAAAACATTTTAATGATCATAAACAGCAATTGTTATTTGAGGGTTACTGCTGTCACTGTTGTAATCAGAAATACCTTTGATGCTTCTTGCCACAGCTCAAAACATTTTGAAATCCACCAAGATGGAATTCTCAGTATTAGCAGTCGTACACATTTCTGATTAATAATATCTGAAAAAAAAACTGAAGTGTAAACTTTGTACTCTATCATCAGTATTACCTAACCTTTATTGAATGACATCATTGGCGATAGTCTTTAGTTCAAGTGAATCGCATGTTTCACATTTCCGGAAATGGATTAAGGCCGGCCCTTGCTTGAGTTTGACTCGCCAATAATCAGAATTATCGAATGCCTGTGATTCCAGTGACTGCAAATACTTCCAATAACGTGGTTATTGCCAATATTTCTATACCAATTGTGTTTAGTATTCACATATGACTGAGTGATATTTACACATGATTGTTAACAATTCGTTCTCTTCCTCTTCTGCTGGCGTTTTTTCCTTTGCCGAGTAGCTGAGCGGAATAATTAAACGAAAGTTGTGCTTGAGGTATTTCGCTTTAAAAACTTCGCGTTATTTATTGCATATCTTACATATGTACATAATTTATGTATATAAATATTTACATACTTAAATGTGTACATGTTGATTTTCAAAATTTTTACTATGTACATACACCGTTGTTTGCAATGTGTTTGTGTGTGCTGATAAACCACTTAATCATATTTTCTTAAACCATTTTAAATTAATAACTAGAACCAATGCCAAATGTGGAGAGTTTTTCTGAATTCAGCGAATATGATCTAAAGTTTTTTGGTTTAGTCACACGAATTCCTTTTTCAATGCTATGTACGGGTGTATGCGTGTATGCTCGTATGCAGGGTGTATTCAAAAACTGTTAAAAAATACTAGTTTAGAACTAGACTGACTAGTAATTAAAATTCGAAGCACTGTTATCAATGAAATTTTTATTTTTGATGCGTTATTTTGATTGATATCAAATTTTTATTTATTTTTTATTTATTTTTACTCTTAATTATATTTGAGAGGAGGGTTCTTAGCGTCTGAAGGTAAAAAACTGAGATCGAATCGACCGTTAGAAAATATTTCATTAAACATTTATTAAGCGATTATACATTTTTATTTCCTCAAAAAAAATATATATACACATTTTGGTTGAAAATGGAACTAATAACTTTATACATTTCATTCGAAACTAGTATGAGTCTAGAATATTTCTGATCGAAAACTGACAATTGCCAACTTTTAGCATATTATCGCGCGAAAAATACTACCAGCATGTTTGCAAGAAGCAGGAAGCTTGAGAGTAGTTTCAAAGTAGTTTACAACTAGTTCCTTTCACGGCAGGATGTGGACATTTGCACATGTGTATGACAAATGCTATGTTGAACCGCACCCTAAATTTCAAGGCGGCAACGATGAGCGGTAATCGGCCAATGTCATTAACCACACATACATAAATACAAATATACATATGTACATACACACATATTTATATATCCACGATTGTATATAAATACATTTCGCATTATTTGGGGTCCGTTGCCTTGGTACTAAATTTCGAAGCGCCCCATGTATCTACATACATACATATACATGTGTACATATGTATGTATGTATTGCTTACGACTAATTTTGCAAAGTGTTTGAATCAAAGTTGTTGTAAATTTATGAAAAAAGCAACACTTCCACTCCGTTTCCAATTGTTGCACTCGCATTTTCGTTGTTAGTGAGTCACCACTTTTATATACATACGTATGTATGTAAGTGATTCTATGTACATATATTTGTCTGAATATGCATGCTGGCGGCCCTACAAGTGTGCCTGAGCGTTGTGTTATGTTGGGTTGTGTTTTCCTGGCGACATCATTTCGCTTCGAAATAAGCTAAAAAGGCCACTTTTTGCTAGCCGGACTTTGCCGCGTCGGCTAAATTTAGAACCGAGCGCGTACGTTGAGGTGTTGGTAGGTGTTGGCCGCAGTTCTCGCTTCCACTTGGTTTGTTGTCTCTAATCTCCCCTGCTTTACACGTTTATTGTACTCTAAGCGACTTATTGTGATTTGGGCTTTTGGGCTAAAGCGTAACAATTTTGTTATGTACCCTGTATTATACCCTTCATGACAGTGAAATAGTGTTTTAATTTTGGTCCAAAACACATAGTTATGTAGATAAGTATCAGAGAGAGAAGAGGCCTAACCGATTTGAACGCTATGACGGAGCTGAGCTGAATTGATCCAACCATGTCTGTCTGTCTATCTGTCTGAGTGCGAATTGGTCTAAGTTTTTGAGATGTTTGTACAAAACTTGGTATGCAATGCAAGCGCTTCATAATTCAGAATAACAAAATCCCGACCTGACAAAAAATACAGATAACTCAATATTTTGGCTAGACAAAATCCCAAGAACACTTTATCTAGAAAAGTTTCGGTTCGGTTTTGGTGAAATGTTTCCTTCTCTCACTTCGGTCAATCGCCAGATTTGTCTGGTCACATGGCATGTAGTTTCAATCCGCCATCTGTTGTAAGCTCTTCTAATGATGGCTAGTCTCAACAGATACTTTGCCGAGGAGGGGCCTGAACCACGGTGTTTTGTATACTTTTGTTTTAAGTTTAAGTTTTTTTTTAAGATTTCTTTGCATCTTATTGCCACCTTTGACGGGATATGATTTCATTCCTGCCAGAATATATTGCAATAGGTTGGGTTAAAAGGTATTGGAGTTAAGCACGTGTTATTCTCCACCTCATCCGAGATTGATGTTGAGTTTAATATTTGGGCGTGGCCCATATGGTTTCTCCATGGTTGAAATGCATTTAGTCGCATGGCATTGAAGCCCGCAAGAAGTAAACCATAGAGGCCTGCCGCGAGAAGATTAAATGGAATATCCAGGGCTTTCGTATGAGTTGAAGGCAGCGCTCCTGTAATGAGCGGTATAATTTCCGGTTTGTCTTGTCAGCATAAAACACACTCGTATGGCATTTGTTCCCATTTTTTTTTTTACCGATTGTCGCCTCGAAGGTGCAGAGTGCAGTCATATCTTTCTTACTGCTTTTTACCGTATTCTGGTTCCAGCTGAGTTTGCTTTCTAAGATTATGCCTAGCTAAGATTACTCATGTCTAATTTATATATTTCGGGATTCAAGTCTCTGGAGCTCGCTATAGACCTTTGTTGTTGTCTCATAATTAATTGGAGTCCCTTTTACTAGATCAATATTTATGAAAGCTATAAGGACACCGACATGGCCGAAGGTAGCCCTCCTTCTTTTTATACCTTTCATGAGCATTTATGAAGTATATGCATAAGTATCAGAGGGAGGAGAGATAGAATGGGTGCGTTCGGCGAACTGAGCGCTCAGTAAACATGTTCAGTGAGCGGACCCTGGACGCAATGGTCAGTTCTTGAGGCGAAAGTTTACTAGATTTTTTTGGGTTGTCAAATAATGGATTTAGTTGCGCCATCTGCACTAGATAAATAGTTTTTCAAAGAAAGAAATTTAAAATAAAGGACCAAACCTTTTTTTTTTGAAAAAACTGTGCCTTTTCACAATTAGTTTCGGCATATGAAGTAGGGGTTAATGAGGTCGTTTTGGCAGTTGAAGTAGCATTGCGTTCATGAAAATTAATCGCCTAGTAAAATCGCTCACTGAACATGTTTACTGAACGCCCAGTTCGCTGAATGCACCCAAAGACGACTTGAGTTGATTTAGCCTGTCCGTTTGTCTTTCTACTTTTGAGATATTTTAACCAAACTCGGTACACAGATGCATTGGTGCTCTTAAACGATGGGAACCTGCCGGAGTAAACAAAATTACATTCGACCGAATTTTTCTGATATTTGTTATATACACAACTCGTATACTCGTGCACCTGATTTGCTCGGATATGATTTTTAATTTTTGATCCTAATACGAATTCGACATGGCCGAAGACACCTCTCCCTTCTTGTTTTCCTTTGCTCTGCAATGCAGGCCAGAACCAAATGCGCACAAATGCAATTAACGAAATAGATAACGCTTTGAACAAAAATAAATTTTCGTTTACAAAGAAATAAATAATAATTAATTATGCGTGATTTATTATTTTCTTTCAGATTCCTTACACAGAAGTCCTAAGCTAATTGGAGAATTAAAGCGGAAATTAAGATATGTAAATTGGATTGTCCGAAATGGAGGAGTCAAATGGAGCGCAGCAGCAACAGCTTGAACAGCAACAAAATCTGCAGAAGCAAAACACCGCCAATAATGTAAACCAAATGAAAAATTTGAATGAAAACGAAGAATATGAAACAAAAGGCAAAAGCCAAAGTACTGATACTAGTGAAAATTATGGGGACGAACAAACGAAACCTACACAACACACACTAATAAACACAATAAAGCCACCGAATAACTGTTTCAAAGCTGCGGAGGAGCTGAACGCCACAGCACCGACGGAAGCAACGGAAGTGACGGGAGCGGTGGCTAACCGTAACGAAGAGACTGAAAATGCGGCCATGGTGGACGCTGATGCGGCTAAGATGAGTAGCGCAGCAGCAACACCTTCAGATACAAATCTAAACAAGATGAAAACGACGAAGACGACAGAAAATGCAAACAACTTGGCAATAGCCACAACAACAACAGCAACAACAACAACGGCTATAGCTAAAGAGAAGAGCAGACAACCCAATTGCAATTTGAGCGAATTTGCAGTACCAGCCATACCCCCCAACACGAAGAAGCACAGCACGAGCGGCGGAGCTGGTGCTGGTGCTGGTGCTGGAGCTGGTGGTGTTGGTGGCGCTTGTACTGGTGCCAAAAAGAAGCGCACTAAAGGTGGCGCTAAACACCGAGAAGAAAATGAAACACGCAATGTTGCCAACAACAACACTAAGGTAAAATGCAATAACACCGTTAGAGGCGTAACAGCGCATGGGAGTCGCTGCCAGGGCAACGACACGACAATTATGCCTCTAAACAATTCCAATGCGAGCGGTGTGGCCAATATGAAGTCATCCGTATCAATGACGTCACTGCCGCCTGATGATGAAAAGACTGAAGAGAGTCGTGACGTAATTAAAGCGAAGCTAAGAGTCGAGCGTCCTTACAATAGCTTGAAGGTAAGTGCAAATTGATATTTTTGTTGCCAAATACATATATACGTACACATGTACATGTACTTGTGTAGCTGGAAGGGTTCATACATGTATGTATGTATATAAATACATATGTATGTATACCATGTAGAATTACATGAGTACATTTAATTTCCTTTGATTGGCCTCGAAATTATACATATCTTTGCGATTTGCTTCTTTGTTGTCTTCGTTATTCACTTATATATATATGGACATACATGAGCTGCTCTAAGTGAAATTGGTGTAACTCGATTTCTTCTAATTTCGAGATTTTCGACAGAATTAGAAGACATCATTTTCTCTTAGAATATTTGATATATTTGAACCCATTTTACTAAGTCGCTCAAACGTTTTCTATGGGATTTAAGCCCGGAGAACCGGAGAGCAGACCAGTCCATGGTTTCTTGAAGCACTCAATAAAAAACCGCATCGGTTCATTGGCTACACGAGGGCGAGCATTATCTTGTGGGAAAATTATACTCAACACCCGAATTTAGTCTCTGCTATTCATTCGAGACGACGTGAATTATAATTGGCTTTGGTGTGAAAGCCCCCCACATCACCGAAATTGAATTTGGAAAATCAACGAGAGCATCAATTTAGGTAATTTCAATTGCTTGCGACGGGGCAAGGTAGCCAAATTGTGGCTTTTGACACTTTAGCGCACGACCTGGTAAAGTTCGAGCTTGTCTTTAAGCTTTACGTTGTATCGTGTTATTCATTTCGTGGTTGCTAAAGTTTTGATACAAATGTGACCACTTACCTCGTTTGAAGAGGAGATTATGGTACACATAATTGCCCAACTACTCATCGATTGGTAACACTTTAAAGACAAGAATTGAAGAGATTGATAGGCAATGGATAATTTAAGACCTGCCGCCGGTCCCCGGTTTGCTCGTTCCACCTCATATATCGCTACTGTAAGACCCGATTGTGTCTGTTTCTCGACGTTCTCAAGAGCTGGGATTTTCCTACGGCACATTATGGCCTATTTCGCACTTGAATTTACACCGTCATCCACATAAAGTCCAGCTCACACAAAAACTGAAGCCCACTCATTATTATTATAGCAGTGAACGGAGATTTTTCGAATCCTTAAATAATTGAATGGAAGAAATACTTAATGTCTGGTACGCTCTTTGGACTGAAGGTGTGTTTGTGACCGAAAAATACCTCAAACGGATCGAAATTTGCGAAAATTCGTGAGGCGGTCATTTGAATGTGTGTTGATGTAGTGTTTCACATATATTGTCGCCAAGGCTCACAGTTAACAATAAGAAAGGAATTTCATGCAAAAGTTTACCTTAAAAGCATTTCATTTACGTTTGTTTTCGAAACCGCAAAATAGATAACCCTGCACCTTTTCAATATAGACCAGTTAAGAGTTCGACGCTTCACCTTCCATTCTGTTTTCATACTGAATATCATCGTCAGTGTCCGAGTGCTTGGTATCGCGTACTGCCATACTGACGGCCAGAGTTCAATTCCTGGTTCGCGCCCAACATCAAAAATTATAAAAAAAAAATTAGTTTCTAAATGCCGCCGGCCCTCGAAAGGCCCTTGAAAGGGAATACCAAGCTCTCCGAGTGTATTTCTGATATGAAATAATAGCTCTGCATAAAAATCTATTGACCGTTCGCTGGCGACTTAGAGTAAACTGTGGGACCCTTTATTTGTTGAAAAAAACATCGAAATGCATACCACTAATTGGAGGTGGAGTTCGTCCGAAACCCTGTTCAGCTTTAACCGCTTAGCGCCAATTATATATATCCTCGTTGGTGGTTTTTAGATCCATCCACCAAAGAGCTCTGATTTGGACACCATCTGTCGACATTGTGCCATATCCGTTTTTCCCTTCGTCTATAGTTCCGATAACTAGTATTCATTACTGTAAACGCGCACAGCAAGCTGCACCACCTGGGCCGCAATGGCTCTTCGCAAGGATTGCCCAAATTGGTGAGGCCAGGTTAAATGTCTTTCTCGTAGAGAAAAGCGTTCCTCCGAGTTTTCTTCCGTTCCTCTCTTTACACAACTACATATGTAACAGTGCAACTATGTACTATGTGTACTCGGGAATGCGATGGTTCAACACCTTTTATATCTGTTTCCTCGCATACATATGTAAAATTCGACAAAGTTCAAGATCAGTGTGGTTGTGTTTGCCTAGTTAAAGCTTCTTCCGCGTTAATAATGGCTTCGGGGGGCTTATCTCTCTTCATTTGATTTTGCCGCACTTAAAATTATTCTGGAATTTATTTAGATTTCTACAAAAGAGACATAAGTGCAAAAATGTCCGTTAGATATTCAAGTTTACGCCGACTCCTCATATTTTTATTAGTAATAAGTAGAAATCTTGCCGAGCTGAAATTATACAGGTTTCTTTTATTTGGCGTCAGCAGAATCGAGCAGACGCCACCGTCTAGACCAAGGGAAGTAGCAAAGCAGCGGCATGGCGACTTGAAAGACCACAACGCAGCGATAAGGTGAAATTCCTGTAGCGATTTGCATTGATCTGTAGAGTGGACACACCACACGCAGCTCAGAAGCTTTTATTGCTGTTAACAGCGCCTGCTTCATAACCAACGGCTTCTGGAGATAGTTGAGGTTGTGCCAATCCGGAATCACTTTGATGCTGCATATGTATGTATGTATTTGTTAGAAGTCAATGGTCAATAATGAAATGCATTTGACCGCACCGAATAGTTAATTAACATTTGCTCCGCTAAATGGCTCCAGCTTTGCGGGGCTCCTCCTTTACTCCAGTTTGTCTTACCATGAAAACGAGCTTGCCATCCTCGCCTGCGCTTTTGCGTGAGCGAACGCTTTTAGTAATTTCATAAATTATGTAATAATCTACGCTGCTCGTGTCTGTATGTCTTTTCTCTGCGCCGACTGTCACTCAAAGGTGAGAGAATCTTTTTGTGTTGCCATCGATCGTTTGACGTGAAAATGAGGAATTTCCTATTCTTTATGCATGCATATGGACATATATATGTATAAGTATATGTAGTGCATTCAATTTAACGGCCAGTAGCAAATTCAAAAAGCAAAAAAAAAAACAAAAACAAAAACAAAAATAGAGAAACAAACAAACTCATGAAACCTCAACACAATCGCCTTGGACATTTGTGACTAATGCGCAGCGCAACAAAACAAACCAAATACAACAACTGTCAGCTGGTTTAAGCCGTCTGCGCGAAACTGGCAGACAAAAGCAAATGCGATAAATATTTTATATAACCAGTTTTGTTCTTCTTTCCTAAGTGAGCTCACTTCTGTATTGACTCTTGCATTCGTGAGCGACTTTTGACTGCTTTGATTTTTATTAGTCGTTTTTCTTTTTTTCATTCCTTTTTTTTGACTATTCGCATAAAGTGGCGTATCTACAAAGTTAGCACAATTGGACATACAGTCAGTCACACCTAAAATGGGACACCCGGGTGACACTCAACTCAAATTTAATCTGATATCGAATTGAAGAAATCGCACGATAAGAGTTGCCCTGTCTGAAATCTCGCTTGGCACCGAACGGCTCGGCAAGGTCCTTTCCAATTAATTCTGACTGCGCTTTTGGCGTTGTCCAGCGTCCACTTAAAAGTAAAGTAAAAAAGTAAAAGTTTTGCAGGAATACCAAATTCAGGCATAGCGGCTCAGAGGTAGCTGCTAAGACAGCTTTAAAATCAATCTGGTGTATGTTGATCCAAGTCCGATCCCATGGTAATGGGCGCTGACTGGGGACCTCCTTTGTGTGGATTGTTCAGACACATGCTTTTGTTCGACCATATTCTGAAAAGAAGCAAAGAAGAAGAAGCCGTAGCATTTGAATATTGATTGCAATTTCCATTCGAACTTCTCCATAGACGGGCAAAGAACATCTGCTCTATCGTCAACGATTGGGGAATCGGGCCCGCCAGCGCCAGGTATTTTATTTTCACTGCCATTCAGCAGGCTGAAGAAGTTTCAATCCATAAATTCAGTATACTCTGAGCATCGCTAATCGTGAGATCACCTCTCGTCTGGGTCCTACAAGAGTTTATCCCGGTCTGGTAGCCTTCTGTATGTCGCTGTTTTCAAACTCACGCATTTCGGGCTCTTTCTTTTTTGTCTGCGCATGCGTCTGGCTTCCCTATTCAATTCTCGGTATCTATTCAAAGCATGGGAAATGGTGATTTTTTGTAGTGTCCCATTTTGTGTGTGAGCAACTGTATACGTTTTATCTATAGTATGTTGGTATGTTCATATGTTCATAAAATATTGCTTCTAATTGTTAAATAAGGTTTTGCCATGTTGTTGTTGTACAAGTACATATGCACATATTTAGTAAAACACCGTATAATATACATAATATATATACTACATTACAGTGTTGCTGAATTATTGAGATACGCTTTAACTGATGCTTTGGAATGATTTTTGCTCGAGTTGAAAATGTTCCGGTTTTTGTCTTGAAATAAAAATTTAAAAATGTCTGTAAATGTAATGTAATGTAAATGTCCCTTATTTCACGTACATACATACATACATATATATGTATATACACAGAGTATGTATAATATATAATTGGCGCTTTGTAACCGTCGGCCGAGCTCCTTCTCCAATGTTGATATTTTTCCAACAAATGGAGGGATCTGCAGTCTTTACCAAGCCACCTACGTATGGCTGATGGTTGTTTTTACGAGGAGCCTTTGTTTCATGTCCGAAACACTCGGAGGGGTGACATTCCCGGCCGAGGGGCGACCGTTACATAACTTTTGGTTTGCCGGAATTTGAACCCGAGCCTTGCGAATGTCAGTACGCAATGCTAACCACTCGGCCACTGCGGCCGCCAATATGTATGTATGTATGTGTATGTACAAACATATAAGCGCGAATATAAAAATGGTAATAAATTTAATGATTTTTAAACTTTGAAATTGACTAATTTTTTTTGCACAGATCACTTTAAGCCATTCGCATTGACCTTTACTCTAATCTGGCAAATTACGTGTTTAATGGATTTCAAGCGACATTTTTATTATAATTAACAAATTGAAAACATCGAGCAGAAACAGAAAAAAAACATCGGTAGCTTCATACTACTGCAGAGGTGGTGCCAACGGTCAGAGATGGACCTTTGTGCAATCGCGGAAATCGTGCACCGTGCAGCCCTAGCGCATAACTCGATTTATTGTATTAGAGCCTGTGAGAGGCCCGTACTGAAATGGCTGATGGTCTTGATTTCACCCCAACTGTCTGGGCTACTGTTTCTCCGAGTTGGCCACGAGCGTATCTGAACCGCTCGCATAGATAGATAGGCACTATCCCTTTGCTAATCTGAAATATATGGTCTGCTTTGGACAGGTGAGTCCTCAACCATATGACCGCGAGCTAGGCCGATTGTGAAGAGCTGGGAAGGTCCTTTTCATCGCAACACTAAAACTCTCACACATAGTAGAAAATCTGAGTAGGTCCGACGAGCGTTCTGGCGGCAAGTCTAAGAATCTCTACTGCCGTAGTTGTTTGTCAGGAGAAGCTTTGACGTCAGAACCACAAACCGATTCTGATTACTATCCGTGGCAGCTGAGTGTCGCCCTTATCGGCTGCTCGTAGACGAAAGTGTAGAATAATCGAGTTGTTCGCTATCGAAGGTTCTTGTTTTATCATTCTACAATGTACTAGTTAGTTATCGGCTTCTCTCTTTCATCTGACCTCGCCTCGCATTTTCGCAACAGTTAATTAATTTATTTGTTATTTTATTTCGTAGAAAAACATCGAACGCAATGTTGTCGGCTCGACGTTGGGTGTGAAACCGCACTGTTTGGGACAAAATCTTAGTTGTACTAGCAGCTGCACGAACCACCGCTACTCTTGGGGCAGCGGTTACAGTTATAGTTCGTCGAGTTTGCAAAGCAGTGCCACCACACTCGGTCTTGGTTCGGCTAAAGACGACCTTTGGGCAGTTATACAAGCTAACTATAATTATATTATGGACACAAACCTGTTGGATTCATGCAAGGAGACCGAGCGGCATCTGGCGGAACAATATGGGGCCGATAGTGTAGATTGTGGGGAATCGCTGAATGTGAAGGTAAGTGGTACTGGCACTCGCTATAAGTGATTTTGAAAGAACTAATGAATTTTGTACTCCACCTCCACTGTGTTCAGTTGTTGGGCGTAACGCAACAGCGCGAAACTTCATGGCACGATCCGCGAGAGTTGCGCAAATGGTTGAGAGATATGGAGGAGCGGTTAGAGAACGCGCCGACTTTATCAGCGGCTACAACATTAACGATAACAGAATTACAAAGCTGTTTAGCTGAACACTCGGTAAGTAATGCAGTTCACACTTGAATATGTACACAATTAAATTTGTTCGCACAGGGTGCTACATTTGTTAGGCGTTACATGACATACGCTATTACCAACTCTTGAGCATCGTAGGTGAATTGATCGCGGAAAATGGCAAATCTTGTTACTCGCTCACAGGGCTATCTATCTAGTTTTTATTTCCTAGTAAGAGCTGGATTCAGATTTAATTAAGTTTAAAAAGTTATACTACAAACATATATAAATGAGTTGCTTGACTATACAGCTGATCAAAGCCCGTTGGATACACACCACAGCTAGTATGTGGTGTACCTCTCACACTTTTCCAAATGTAAGAACCATTTCCTGTGCCTTATGCACGATGGGACTCTCCCCTTCTTCGCCTCTGCAATTTCGGCAAAAATTATTGAAAAATACCCGCTTCTCATACTCTGAAGCTCCATTAAAACGTGTCCAGCTAGTATAACCGTTGCTGTAGTAGTGGGGAACCGGTCTGGGAGGATGAGATCACTTGATCGTTTAGCATCCAAAACAGAACAAAGCTGTATAGCCAAGTTACTAGTTCTTTCTCGAAGCCATCTGGTGTTGGCTGTTTCGACGAAAGCCAGCTTTAGTCTGAGTTTTGCCGTGGACAAGAATAAGCCCGCGGCGTGCGTAGAATTTTTAGAGTGGTACCTTCACTTGCTAGCTCATCCGCTGTACAGTTGCCTGGGTTGTCCGTATATCCGGGTACACAAACCACAGCTCCGTTGCGTCCAACAGAGAGCTTCTTAAAGTGTTGCTGCATTTCAACGTTCCGATTTTTATTGTGATGGCAGTTTAGTTCATCGAGTTTCGAGCTACCCGTGAAGATGGCTAGGTCACTCTGATCCGGAACATTTGCACTTTCCCATTCCTGCCTGTTCGATATGCTTGTGGATAAGAAATTGTCAAAGCAGTGCTACCACGTCACAATCTGTGCTATCTAATTACCGAATCAGCGTGTTCACTGCGCTGCTTCACAGCATTAGAGACTCTCCTTGAGGGGTTCCTCTTGCTTGTGGTATATCTGGTGGTAACGGCATTTCCCATCTCATCTCGCGAAGACGATTCTGTTCTTCAGGAGACATTCCACGAACTTAACAACGACCTGTGCAAGATCCATTACTTCATGGGCAGCTTCTATTATGGACTCGGAAAAAAATATTGTTAAAGTCTTCTAAGAAAACGTCAGTGTCGACGGACTTTCCTTTAGAGTAGGCTTGGGCCGAAAGTCTTTTGGACTTACAAGGTGGTTCCTGCCTCCTTTTGGGAAATATATGGTGCAGACAGGCTTTGTAGATTTGTAATGATTTTAAGGCCCATCTCACTCTTCTGCGACAGACTATTTCGCTCTGGCGCTGATCCGCGGAACAGCCTGGCAAATGTGTGTCCACGATTTCTCCGAAATATTAGGTTGTCAAATATCTCCCTCCTCTTTCGAATTTCGCGGCTATGTACAAAGCGCTACAGAGCTGGCAACACTATACATAATTTGAAAGGTCTTGATATATCCTACAAAACAACGCTATGCATGATTAGTTTGGATATTGCGTTCAACAGTTATAAACGTGTAAACATGGAGTTCACTAACGCCGAAATTCGCGCTATTTTAAAGTTTTCCTTCGTTAAAGGCAAATCCGCTAGAGAAACGTTCCGTGAGAATAATGGTGTTTTGGGGGATGGTACTCTATCACTTCGAACCGCGGAGGAATGGTTTCGACGATTCAGAGCCGGTGAAAACGACACCATGGATAAGCCAGCCGGCGGAAGACCTGTGACGACAAATACCGATCAAATCATGGAATACATCGAGTTAGACCGGCATATGGCATCTCGTAACATCGCCCAGGAGATGGGAGTTAGTCACCAAACCATTTTGAACCATCTGCATAAGGCTGGATACAAAAAAAGTTTGATGTTTGGGTGCCGCATAATTTGACCTGCGATATGTGAACCATTCACCATTTGGTTCTGGGCAAAATTTGGAGTAGTAAACCTGTTTCCTTCTAAGTTTCCATCGATGTCACCACAAAATGTTTTTCGAAACTCCTTTTTAGCCTTCTTAAACGGCCTTTTAAAAGCTTTAAGGATGTCTTTGTAGAGATGTCAGGAAATTATTAATTTTTTATTTAATGTAATTTTGATTGTATTTTTTTAATTTTTCTTACTTCATGTTCTATTTTATTTTATTGTATTTTATTTGTTTCGCTTATTATTTGTTTTTCTCTATTTTAATTTATTTGATTTTCTGCGTTAAAATTATAAAATTCTAGATTTTAAATTATCGAAAACTGGAAGACACAAGAATTTTCTATAGAACTTTGTTCATTTTTTTTAACTGCCATTTCCCTCGGATTAATCCATCATATCGAACCACCAATAATTGCAATTAGCGGGTTTCGCTACATTTCAATTTACTTGTTTTCGTAGGGTTCTCCGGTGCAAACAGTATGAATTTTCCGCCCAACACAATGTCGCATAATTTTTTAGTTATTTTTTTTTTGTTGTTTCTGGAAAATATGTTTTTTCAAATCCGCCAAATTGTGTCGTGAACGGATGGCGAAGGTAGGAAGTCATTGAAATGAACGATTGGGTTAACTGTAACCAACTACAACAATAACATTTGTTGGAAATGATCATTGCAATTGCAATCTCCGAAAGTTGCCAAGTAGTTTATTGCCAAAAGTGGAGTGAGCCTTCGGACAGGCGTTCATAGCCGCGGCAGTGTTGTGTAAATGTACATATGTATGTATTGTAAAATGGGAAAATGCTACAACAAAAATTTGAACAATCGGCTTATGCAAAATGTGATTGTAACTATACTAAGTACGAGGTGCCTAGTTTTTTCCTTCTTATTTTCTTCTTTTTTTCTTTTTTTTTTTTTACTTATCTTTTATACTTTTTGTTTTTCATTTCTGCTTTACTTTCCTGACAAAATCGGGAGTGAGTGAAGGAAATTAACTGCGGAGCTAGGAAAATATAAGGCAAAAGTACAACACCCGCGCGTTGTTTCGTAAAACAATAGAATTAACTACGCTTCAATGAGCAGCGCTGGGCGAAAACATGGCGGTAGAGCTTGGCCAGCTCGCTCGCTTGGCTGGCTGACTGTTTAGCAGGAGACTATGAGCCCGGCTATGGTGACTGGCGTTTGTTCGTGGTTGGTTGTTGGTTGTTGGTTGTTGGCTGTTGGTTGTTGGCTGTATTAGCAGCGGTTCAAAGCTTCGAAAATAAAGAGACATTAAATTATGACCACCATAAAAGCGATATACGAGTATGTACATACAACTATACCACAAGACGGTAGCGCGCAAAGCGAGCGGCGGGTAAAAGTGCTGGAATGCTACAATTTTATTATTACAACTCCCCTGCTATGTACGTTTGTATGTGTAAATGTATGCACGTGTATGTAGTTGTCAGTGGCGCGTGCCAGAAAGTCCAAAAATGGATAAGTTGGCTTATTTGACTGCTAAATTGTTTGAATCTGGTGTGACTTTTAGATTTGCAATGGCCTCCAAGGCTGTGTGGAATTGTGGCCAAACAGAATTTGCCACGCTAATCGTTGGACACGCTTACATACAATTGTGTGTGTGTATGTGTGTGACCGCCTTCACCTGGGGATTTGCGCACGTTGTTATTTCCTTTTTGGCGCATTAAAAACATTCAAACATTCACAACAGCGGGCGGTGGTGCGATGAGGCTGAGAAGAGATGCAATCTATACTGTTGATATACCCACATATCTCACCACTTTCACAGTGTTCGTCGAGTTCTGAGTTCGTTCGTAGGTGAAATTGTGTACCTGTCAGTGTCGCCAGCACGAAGATCGATTACGACAAAACGAGAAATCCAAAAAGCCATCAGTATGGCTGAAAAGCTCAAATCTATTGGTTCTAAAACAAGCAGCGAGAGTAGACCAAATTACCAAGGAACCCAACTTTACTAAACCAGACAAGTGTCGTTATGATTTGGTATATTGGTCTCTTCAGGGTTCAACCCCATTACCATCCCTCCCTCCATCCTGCGTACAGCTACATATATAGTAATTTAACCTTAAAAAGAATTCAAAAGAGAAATTTTCTTAGATAATTAAAAAAAAATAAAAATAAAAAATTAATTTGGAAATAATTAAAATAATAATAAATAACAAAAAAATATTTAATAAATAGAGAAAAAAGAATCTAAAGTCATAATATGTATTATAGAACCAAAAACAATAGAAAACTAAAAAATACATATTAAACAGGTAAAGAACAAAAAAATAAAACGGAACCATATGAAAATAAATAGAAAAACCAAAAATTTTATTTAAATAAATGAAAGACTAAAATTAAAAATTAAAATAAATAAAACTATTTCCTTAAAAAAAAGGATAAATAAATTTAAAGATGATTAAGAAAGAAAAAAAGAAAAAAATTACAAAACAAAAACTAAAACAATAAATAAAGAATTAAAAAAGTTTTCATGACTCATACCAACCACAATAAAATGCTTAATATATAAATAAGTAATTAAATTTATTTATAAAAAAATCATAAAAATCAAGAGAGTAATAAAAACTATTAAAAAATAAAAAACGATAAAAAATGATAAAAATTGTAAACAAATAAAAAACAGGGGAAAAATAATAAATAATAATTTAATTAAAAAATAAAATAAAAAAATTAAAAACAATTAGGAGTATAAAATATGTTAATCATTATATTTTTTATATAGTTGTAAAAATAAAAAAATAGCAGTAGAACTAAAGAAAAAATAATAATTAAAAATAAAAAATGGAAAATATAAAAAATACAAAAAATATATAAAATAAAATTAAATAATAAGACAATTAAAAAAATAATTAAATAACAAAAAAAAAGAAATAAATATATAAAATATACAAATAGAAACATATAAAAATATTTTGAAAATATAATAAATAAATAAATAATAAAACGTTAATAAAATAAAAAAAAACTTATTTCTGATCTCATTCAATTG